ATGGAACTACTGTTCACCGAATGTTTTATGCCACATAGGATTATGCTAAATATTTTTCACATTTGGTCTCTGACTTTCTCTAAGTCTCAATTTCCTCTTCTTTAAATGGGCTCAGCAGAGCACTATCAGGGTATTAGTGTTTGAATTAACCAAGTCCTGTACATGTAGGAAATTCCTAACAGACTGTAAGTTAAAGATGCAAAGTTTTATACTTCCTTTTATGTTTATGCTTTGCTTTTTACATAAAGTGAGGAGTGAGGTTCAATACTCTTAAGACACTTCCTTGGCAGCATGTCTATGAGATGCAGATGTTAGTAAAAAGAAAGCGCTAAAAAAACCAATCCTTCCCTAAGACAGGAATCATGCTTAGGTTATCAGCAAAATATTAACTTGAAATACAAGACTTGTTTATCTGTTTTGGTATTAAAAACTACCTTATACTGTTTAAAGAGACTCCTCAATGAGAGGAAGGGGGAGAGGAAAGGAGAGTGAGGGAGGAAGGGAGAGAGGGAGTGAAGAAACAAGTGAAACCTGGAAATTTGCACTTAGTCTGGAAGAATTTTTTTTAAAGAGAAAGAGAACGGACCTTATTAACAACATTCTCATTTATAGTAACACCCAGAGACTTCATTTTCGTGCTAATATGCTGTTATATGCTGTTTCTTTTCTCTCTCCTAGCTAAGGCTGAACTGTACCAGCATTCTTTGTTTGTTCCCATACCTTTGTTATAAAACAACACTTCCTTATAACACCTAACAAACCTTCTTCCCACAGCTAGTATTACATGAAAGGTGGAATATTCTCAAACTTTTTTGGGTGCTTACTGCTATAACATGCCCTAATTTTGCACTATATCAACCAGATCCCATATCCCCTTACTGAATGACCTTCTCATCGGGTTGCCTAAGCTACTGTGACTAAGCTACTTCTCAAGTATCTTGTTCCCATAGAGACAGAACAACTATCACATTGTCAGGCATTCATTTCTTTACATGATGCAGAGTAAGACCCAGCTACATGCTCCTCTGACAACATTCAGGAATGCGTGCTGGGGAATAGGAAGACTACTCACTCAAAAGTAAAGTGTGACAGGCAATTCTCTTCATCTCTAACGTTCTCCCACGAGCAGAACATTAAAGTAAGCTTTTCTTGTGTTTGAATGATTCAATATCCTTAGCAAAGCACCTTCAAAAACTGATGTTCCAAGAAGAGAAGCCACCAGGCAATGAGGCAATTGGTTGAGCACAGTTTGGGCACATAGAAGAACTCCCAAGAAATGGTTGGCAAGAGATCAACCTAAGGCAGTCTGAGGAGCTTCTGACTCTAAACTGTGCATCACTAACCCTAAATTCAACTCTCTACTCAACCCCTTTAGAACCTTGAGCTTACCTTACAACCACCACCTTGCATGATCAAGGTGGATGTCTAACAGATACTCTCAAACTTGTTCAACATCAAACTTTCCATTTTCTCTCCAAATTATTTCTTCACCATCTCAACATACATCTCTTTTCTCAGTTGTTCAGGAAAAAATTAGATCATCAGTTTTCATTCCTGTTACTTCTGTCAATCACTCTGATCCAAATCATCTCTAAATCTTGTGCTATACTTGAAATGTAATCTAGAACCCTATCAGTCTTCTCTCCATCTCTACTGCATAAAGTACCAGATTGCTGCTAAAATCTTCTATCTAGACCCTAATTTTCCTCCCTTACCATCAACTCTCCATACACAGGTACCATATTATAAAATTGTCAATCAGATCCACTCACTTTTGCTATTACTGTTTTCTAGTGAATTTCTCTGGCACACACATTAATGCTCTTGAGTATAGCTCAGTGGTTTTCTGGGACCTGCTCTCACCTCCGATCACATATCTATTAACACTCTAAATCCATGTCTGGGCTCTAGCATACTCTTTAACCTTTAAAACTCAAACCTTCTCTGGCACCTGTGCTTACTATCTCAGCTGTTTGGAACACGGTTTCTCCTAATCATCATATAATCACTTCCCATCACCCAGATTTCAGGCCCAGCATCACACAAGGTGATGCCATGCTGCTCCAGTTCTCCTTCAACTCCATACACATATACACAAAGGATCAAAAAAGCCATACTTTAAAGAATATATACCTCAGATTTTGGGAAATCAGGTGAGATCAAACTTTTTATTGCATGACCTACTGGGGAAAAAGGAGCATAAACTACTGTGCGATGAAGGCTCAAAATACTAATGGTTGAAACAATAAAAAACCAAACTCATGGAATTTATAGCATAGTCAAGAATCTTAATGGCATGTTGTAAGAAACCAGGGATTTAGGGCCCATAACATGTCTCAACTGCTTAATCCTTCCTTCAAGCACCAACACCCCATCTGGTGCCTGTTTGTGTCCCAGCTGCTCCAATTCCCGACCAGCTCCCTGCCTGTGGCCTGGGAAAGCAGCAGAGGACGGCCCAAAGCCTTCGGATCCTGAATCCACATGGTAAACCTCAAAAAGTTCCTGGCTCCTAGCTTCAGACAAGCTCAGATCCAGCCACTGCAGCCAAATGGGGGAGTGAACCAGGAGATGGAAGATGTTCTTCTCTCTCTACATCTCCTTCTCTCTGTAAATTTACATTCCAATAAAAATAAATAAATCAAAATAAAGAGATGGAGGGGGAGAGGGAGAGGGAGTGAGGAAGAGGGAGAGAGGAAGAAAGGAAGGAAGGAAGGAAGGAAGGAAGGAAAGAGGGAGGGAGGGAGAAAGAGAGAGAGAAAGAGAGAGAGAGAGAGAGAGAGAGAGAGAGAGAGAGAGAGAGAGAGAGACTGAGACCAGTGGTTCACGGGTTTCGTATAAAATCTATGCTTAACTAACAATTTTTTGGCTAAAGATTGAAATGTGGTCACAAGGTAACAAGATTTCCATCACCTTACTCATGGAAGGTGGTGTATAGCATTATTTTTAAAAAAATGGTTTTGGCAATGAGGTTCTTCCTTCGCAGTTAGTTGCAGAAATATCCTTATGGCTCAGTTTGAAATATCTTCAGGGTTCTGCCTATTCTTACATTGACAATTGAGATATTAATTTGTTTAAAGCAGTAAAGGGCTAGCGATAGGTTTGACAGAAGAAATAATACCAAGGAAACAGTTGCATTTTATGGAATCCTTACTATGTGTTAGCCATGCAGTAAACAATCCAATCGACAGAATGGTTAATTATCTCTACTCTTTTAAAAAATATCCACTTTCAAATTTTCTCTTTCTCATTGAGAATTTGATAATAATATGAGCCACACTGTTTTATGATATCTCAAGAGAGAATATCAAGTAGTGAGACAGTCTTTTACTTACACATGTGTGGGTTTTTTTAATAGAGCTTTTTTGCTTATTTTTTTCTGGGGGATGTATCGTTAGGGTCTTGAGATGAAAACTGGGCTATGAAGCAAGTAGCAAGTCCCAGTTTTACCTCCAGACCACATGTGCATAATATGTACTTAATGGATAATTACGGAAATAAACATTTACTGAAAGTGAACATATCTAATCAAATTTGTAATGAAATCATGCACATCTTATCAGCCTAAATTTTCATATTTAATTGAAAAAAATCCCTGCATCACCAAGACATAAGACACACTTTAAACCAACAGTTTCAAGGATCTGAGATTTGTAATATCATATCTTTAAAATAATGAGAAATATTTACAGAAGCATTTCTGAAATTGCCTTCCACCATTTTAAATGCTATCATTAAATATAGAAAAAAGCTTATAAAACAACCATCAAGTATACCAAAATGAATTTCCAACATTTAGAGAAACTCAAATGCCAAGTCCTGAGACTGAAGTTCTACCCGTGGAAGATGGCCTATAATATTCTTTACCTACAACATAAAGATAGACATTCTAACAGACAGCTCTAATATGGGTGTCTTCTGCTCTTGCCCTTCTGGTACTAAATATCCTCCAAAGAGATTCAGACTCAATAAAGGGATATATGAAGATGCTCATAGCATATGCTTTGGAAAGAAAAGGTCAAACACTGTTCACTGCTGAAGACCACAAATGAAATACTGGACCCACTGAATCTTTTGGCAAGAAAACTCTGGGTCCTATAAGAAATTTTACATAGAAGAAAGAAACAGAGTGAGAGAGAAGGCACAGAGGGAGGAAAAGAGCAAGGGGATATCATTATAGTCTTAGAATTGTTTCCATTAACTATATTGCATTTGCTAAAAAAATGAAAAATAAAAGTGCTTAAAAGTAAAACTTAAAAATTTCAACAAGAGATCATTCTTTATATCCAAAACACCTGTTTCTAAAAAAAAAAATACTGTGTCACATAATGCAATGTAATAAAAAAAAGGGGGATCATTCTAAGATATCTCTATCTTTCAATATTTCACACTACAATAGCACTCAATCATTTTTATTCATTATGGCCCAAAGTAAACTCATGTTTAACTGCATAAACTACCTTAATTTGAAGAATTAAAGATAATCTCTTTGAATTCACTGATGAGTTTTGCCTGTAGCTTTGACTATATCAACAAAATCATTTTCCTTTGTATATTTTAGATTTGTAACTTAAAATTAAATCCTGTTCACTTGGATAAAACATCAATTTTAGACAACTTCCAAAGAAGTTAAAAACTAAGTCTTTGTGGCTGGTACAGTGGCTCAACAGGCAAATCCCTTACCTGCAAGCACCAGCATTCCATAACGGCACAAAGCCGAGCCCAGGCTACTCCACTTCCAATCCAGCTCCATGCTTAAGCCTGGGAGAGCAGCAGAGGGTGGCCCAGGTCCTTGGGCCTCTGCACCCACATGGGAGGCCCAGAAAAAAAAAAAACTCCTGGCTCCTGGCCTCAAATCAGTTCAGTTCTGGCCATTACAACAATTTGGGGAGTGAACCAGTATACAGAAGATGTTTCTCTATAACTCTTCCTTTCAAATAAAAATAAATAAATCTTAAAAACAACAAACAAACAAAAAACACCTGATGTTTCTTGGTACTCACCCTCCCGTATCTGTTGGCGTAGGACCCAGTGAGCAAGGAATGAAAAACAATGATCGTCTCGTCCAAGTCCCAGATGAACACTCTCTATAAGGCAAGAACCCAATTAATGCATCTTCATGTTGATTGAGAAAAGTTACTCAGTTAATTTCATCATGAAACAGTAGTCTTAAAATGTGAGGCCAAAATCACATATGACTTCATTGACATTTTAAGCTACACCTGCTTTAAAGAGTATTGCTCAGCTATTCGCTAGACAGAACCTCAGATGAGGCACAAGAATATAATTCTATCAGCAACATCAATATAACTATGGGAAAGAGATAACAATGTGTCCCCTATTTTTGTAGAACTTTTGTCTTGGTTTTGTAGAAATGAAAAATGAGCTATTACTAGTCTGTTTATATACTGAAATAGAGTGGCCATTACTTAAAAATAATTCACTTTTGAATCTCTATCACCTGTTCATTTATTAAGAAGTGTTAAAAATAATCTTATGTTTTACTCTCATCATCCAAATACTAACACTTATATTTGACAGCTAATTTGCATAAATATATTCTATTTCTATTATCTATTAGACAATCATAAAAGGCATGGGATATCTAGTTGGCTCTCTATTTCCAGAGGTTGTACATTTGCACAGCCAATCAACAACAGACCAAAAATATCTGAAAACAAAAATCACACTGTACTCAACATGTACAGACTTTTACCTTGTTGGTCTTTCCCAAGCAACACAGTGTAACAACTATTTTCACAGCATCCACACAGAATGTTCACTAACCGAGACTTGATTTAGAGTATCCCAAACCCTATGGAATTGTACCATAAAATTCAAAATAAAAGAAAAGTATGTGAGACTTTATGACTATATAAGCATTTTATGTAAGGATGTTGAGTATCTGTAGATGTGGTTGGGAACGAGGGGATCCAGGAGCCTGTTTCCCATGGATACCGAAGGGTGACTGTGTATTGTTCATGCTAGGCTTTTTAAGTCTTTAGGTTATAGACATTTAACGACTTCAGCAGACACATAACTCATGCTCTTAGACACACTCTTGGGGTATTCAGGATTGGAGTTAAAGGGATTTGTTTCAAGGGGAAAAAAAAAAATGTCTCCAAGACACCACAGACAGCCTCCCCACCATTCCCCTTTCCTCTTCCCATACCCACTCACACCAGTAAATATTCATACCAGATTCTGCTGGAAAAATTTAGTCTTTCCAGCCAAAATAATCACGTTTTCCACCATCAGATTTCACTTTGGCAAAAGGCAGAAACTTAATTACAGTGGATTCGAGGCTATGAAACCTACCACCCTTTCAGTTTTTACTTAATCCTTTCTGCTTTTGAACTCCAGCAAAACATGTCTCAGAAGGTGATTACCATTTCAATTTAGAACATTCTGAGCTTCCCTTTCTCAATATACACAAATGTGTCTTTAATTTCAAAGTAGATTTCATTAAGGATTTTTAGTAAGATGCTTACTTAACTGAAATGGCAATGACACAGAGCAGTACAGCAGAGATTTAAAGGCAGAATTTTTTAATTTAACATGTGTTTTTACTGTAAAACAAATAGATGCTTTACTACATGGTTAATGCAGAAGAAAACTACCAAAAACAGACAGTTGTTTAACTTATAGCCAACAGTGAAGAGAAAAGAGCATTGTCTTTTCTAAGAAAATATAATAATACCAGAAGCATTTGCTCACTGGTCTTTCCGTAGCAGTTCTATGGTCACCAACTGGCAACTGCAACACCTTGTTATTCATTTTGGTGTTGGCAATGTTCTCACCTCTAGATCAGAATCCGGGGGAGGTGAAGGGTTATTGTTTCTTCGGCCTCGTCCACGTGATTTTCCATCGGAACCTCGACGCAATCGTTCAGAATCTGAATCTTTAATGGGTGTTGATGGGCTATGGATTGCACTGTACTCTGCAGAAACACACGGAAGCATGTTCACCTTGCAGTTCCAATATGATGGTACCCAGATTAATCTTTTTTTAATTCAGAGGTATGTAAAGCATATTACAGTCTGTTTAAATCCTACACTATGTTATATCTGCATTCATCAATCATCAAAGAGGCCTCTGACTCCAAGATATGTTTTGAATGAAAGAATGCTCAAAAATAAAATGTAATTAGAGGTCAAACAGAACACATAATAGCAAGTTTCCTAGCTTCTCCTTAGGGCTTTTGAGGATTCCATGATGTGCTGGTCCCACACATGAATCAGCTTCTCTCATCCTACACAACTGGTACCGGGCCCTCTTGAGGCATTCGCCCATTTACCTCTGTGTTAATCCTTCCAGCTATCTATGCAAAGGATGCTTATTCATGGAAACAGATGAGAAGGAAAACCAGACCCATGGTAGGTAGAACTAAGCCAATGGGAATTCTCTTTGAAAACTTTAAAAATTGCTATTTTCTCCCTCATTTTATGTAAAACAGATAAGGAGAGCAGATATATGGAAGACGCCCATTTGCATTCAGTATCTCTCATTCTCTTGCAACCAAACTTCCAAAACAAGGCAGCACATTAAAATTACTCATTCGGATAACTCAAAGAAACCACTGAAATAATTATACCAAAACCACAAAATTAAAAACTATTTTCAAATGGCTCAGAGGAAGAGCGGGCCAGTGGTTGTGGGGTTTACGAGCTTTCTATCGCATGTCCAGAATGAACATAAAAACATGTATTCTTATGTCTTAGGTACAATATTTATTGCCTTCCCAGGATAATTCCTGCCTTTCCCCAATTCCAGCTGTTAAGTATTCTCTGGCTTTTCCACAAAGCTTTATGCCATTGCTCTACCAGATATAGGCTGAAATCTCTCAATCTAAACCTTTATGGGGAACTATTATTTTCATGATATTGTTGATGCTACATTTCACCAACCAGGAAACTAGGCAGATCAACTAAAAGTCTGATAATCTAATAATGTTCTATCAACCTTAGTCACATACACCAAGCCATGCTTGTTTTCAACTACGTGTTCTCAATACTACCACCAAGCTTAAATGCTTCTCTAAAGCCTTTAGATTAGATGGGAATACATTTTGCAGCAAATTCTGATTCTAAACCAAATGAAACAGCCTATATGTTTCACTTAAAGTTTGAAGGAATCCATCAGTTGCATACAACACTTCTGAATATCTCCTTCATAACAAACCAGATGGGGACCCAGCATCGTAGCCTAGTGGCTGAAGTCCTCACCTTGCATGTGCTGGAATCCCATGTGGGTGCCAGTTTGTATCCTGGTTGCTCCACTTCCCTTTCAGCTCATTGTTTGTGATCTGAATAGCAGTAGAGGAGAGACCAAAGCCTTGGGACCCTGCAACAGTGTGGGAGACCTGGCTCCTGGCTTTTGGATAGACTCAGCTGTGGCCATTGCAGGCGCTTGGGGAGTGAGCCAGCAGAAGGTAGCTTTTTCTGCCTCTCCTTTTCTCTGTAAAAATCTGATTTTCCAATAGAAATAAATAAATCCAAAATAAACAAGATGGCAAAGTTTTTCATATATACTGGTCATGCTATTCTCATAACCAAAATTGACCGTGATGCCCATTGGTTAACTATAGTCAGAATATCCTTAACAACTCCACTCAGTGGGTCAGTTTATTAAGTTCTTTCAGATGCATTTTTTGAGCTGACTCATCACACAGACTGTTAAAACATAATGGTGTCTGGTCAAAGTTAATCATTGTATAAATCTACACTAATATTCTTTTATTGCAGTGGAGATGACTAAGGCATTTCTCCTTACAATGCCCCAAACCAAGCATCTTTTCTTCCATGTTTGTGGAGACTCAGAGGTGTCAAATGAATATATTTTTCAAGTAGTTGTGCATACAGAGATTTTTTAAATGCATTGTTCTTCCACATCAAACTTGTGCAGATATGGGTATTCAACACAGCAGTTAAAATGCCTCTCAGAAAACAACAATCCATACTGGAGTGCCTGGGTTCTTTTGCTGGTTACAGTCCTTATTCCACTCTCCTGTTAACGTGCTCTCTGAGAGGCCATAAGCAATGGCCCAAGTTCTCGGGTACCTGTGTGTGAGATCCACATTGTGTTCTAGGATCCTGTTACTGCTCAAACCCATCTCAGGCAGTTGTGGGCTAAAAATGTGGGGACTCAATCAGCAAATGGGAGATCTCTGTCTCTTTCAAAGAAAAAAAAAATTTGAAAAAAATCTTTTGTGGCATACACCTCTTTGCAGAACCTGGATAGCTACCATGTGAAACAAATCATATGCTAGTCTGTTTAATAGTGTTAAACAAAGCATTTACTCTGCAACTAACAGAACTGACCTCTAAATCAAACTATACCAAATATTTTACTACAAAATCTTGAATGTGAGCCTTTAGTTTTTATAAGCACATATTTAAGAAGTTAAAAACACCAAGTAACATATTTTCATACACTGTATGCTTTGCACTGTCATCAAGATAGTTATTCTTAAAGCAATTTATCTTATATAAGTTTTTTAAACATAAGTTTCCTCCTACTGATTACATATCGACTCTTTTTGTTATTTATCCCTGATTTAAAAACTCAAATCTTCCAAAATTTATTCCATCTCATTTTTTTTCTGGAAATAGACAAGCTATAATTAAATGAATCACTCACATTTGGAAACCTTTCCCAAAAGAAAACAAATTCACTGGGCAAAATATACAGGAAAATATTAAAATCATCATATGCAAAGTTTTTCCAGGTGGAGAAAAGAAAAAACAGAAAAGATGGATAATCTGACACCTTTAAATATGGAATAAAACCACATCCACACATTACTGACCTCTACTTTTAAGAAGGAAAATGAAATTAAAAATGATGCAAGATAGTCTTTAAAATCACTTCCTTATTGCTCTAGGATGTGGAATTCAATGCGTACCCTCTCTTAATGCTTTCCCAACTCTAACTTCTCCTTTCTCTTACTAGTGCAAAACAACTCAGACAAATTAATCTTCTAATCCACTGACAGCTCATGTTTCACTAAAACCCTCTCCCAGTTGTTCAACTTTACCCCCACTTAGATAATAGAAATGAAAATACTTTGAAAAGCGTGCACTTAACATACGGGTTGGATGTTAGGTTCACATTCTCCTAGGCACTATATAGAAACTTGTTATTAAACTACATGGGAGCTTCAAACTTATTATAAGATCCCAAATACTTACAGTTCCAGCTTAGCGGAACTTAAAATTCAGAGGTAGATATAGACCAATGGACAAAAGGCCACCAAAGAAATCCTTACTACTAAGATTTACAAGGGGGAGAGAAGTTTTCAGAAGATGGACGGCACATTCTCCGTTAAGGAGGACACAGAAATGCCCCAGGCAGGGTATCACAGGCAGGTCTGAAGGTACACAGGAAGAAAGCATGTCATGCTGAACTAAAACAAAACAATAAAACAAACAAAAAAATCAACTTGACCTGAGTGTACAGAAAAAATATAGAAATGAAGCCAGCGTGGCAAGCAAAAATTCAACAAGGCAGTGGTGACTACAGCTCCAGGTTGGAAGTTTGCTAGAACCAGGTTTTCACTAAGAAAGGAAAATGAGTAAGTAGGATAAACCAGTAAGCCAGGTAGGATGGTGATGGCCTGGGTGCAGTTCATAGTGCTAGAGAGATTGGAAGAGTCCGTAAAAGGTAAAGTCACAACCAGTTAGATAAGGAAGACGGAAATCAAGGATGATGTCCACACCAGTTGTGTTTTCACAACTTCATGAGCTCTAAGATGTGGTGTGAGATTTAAGAAAAAGGAGTTATGGTCAAGAAGTGAAAATTCAAGTTCAGCTGTGGACATACCGAATTTAAACAGTCCCTGATGTTCAAATAAGGATGCCCCAGTAGGCTGCTAGACTCTTCTGAAGTTCACAGAAGAAATGTGGGCTGAGTTTAGGCTTATAAATCGATGCATTATGCAAGGAAAGAAATGGGTATAGTTTAAAAATGCAGTGTGTATGGAAGGGCTGAACAATGAAAGATGGATGAGGTGTGTGGCAGAAAACCAGTCTGTGTGTTGCTAAAAAAAAAAGAGTATGTCAGAAAGGAGAGAGTGGTGACTAACTTCAGATCAACTGAGAGGCAAAGCAAGAACATTTCAGGATTAGAGTCACAGAGAGAGCTGGTACACAGGGCAACATCATAGATTTGAGAAGATGGAAGAGTACATAAGATTAAAACTCCAAGAGCATTAGTGATAACCCTGGTGTGGCCAAATTCAATATTTACTTTGTAATACTCAGTCTCATTCCACTTGTCTGTATTTGTTCCCACCACTGCCTCCTTTAAATGTCAAAAAAAAAAAGAAAATCCTGATTTTCCTTTTTTCCACTTCCCACTATTCCTTTTTAGTCATTAAGCTTGAATTAAATACTTATGTTGTCTACATCTGTAAGACTTGAAACTCCTGACCTAGCTTAAGATAAAGAGTTTGTATCAGGATGCTAATTGATGCTAAATTTCTTTTTTCCAACATCTCCTAAGACTGAAAAAAAAAAAGGCAGCTAAACAGTGTGGCTTTTGAGAAAGTTGATTGCTCTGGAGCAAACACTTCATGGTCCTCTTGCCTTGTTGAAGGATCTCAGGGGTTGGTTATATTAAGAGGGATTCATGATACCGTATAGGCTAATTTCAATGCTTTGCTTACTAATCTTTTGACTTGAATATCTTACTGTTGGATGGGCCTCTTTATCCGATACCATAATTAGCCTTGCCCCCAGATGAACCCTCTCTACTAACAATGGGATCAACAATGCCACTATCTACCCATTTCTCTATTCCAGCCACTTCTTACGAGGATCCATCAAACAAGAATAAGTTCTATGGTTTTTACACTGAAATGCTTTTGGTTTCAGGTCCTGCTCTCATCACCTCTTGCTTTAGTTCTATCAAGAAGCTATTTCCAGGATTGTCATTCTTAGT